GTGGGGCGAAGAGGGGCGGGGCGGGGCAGCAGCCTGTGCGCTGGTGCAGGGGACAAAAGGCTGCCCGCAGCGGCATCTAGTGGTCAGCTCTGGTACTGCACCGCTGGCTGCTGGGGGCAGTGCCTTGACCTTGAGCTGGAGGTCTCAGAAGCTTGGGGCATCGTGGGCAGGGTCTTGCTGGGCGTGGCGAGTCCTGGGTCCCGAGCCCTCCCCTGGAGCGGACTTGGCTTGGCATTGGGTAAAGTCCCTGATATTGAGGGTAGCGGGGGCTTGGAGGGGCTGAGAGCTTTCCTTTGGGGAGAGGGAGAAAGCCCCCACCCACCACTAAGTGCAAAGCAGTGAGAAGGGAAGGAGGCTGTGTGGGGGAAGTGGAGGTCCCTGCAGGCCTGGGTGGGGTCACGCCTTTCGGCCATTACTGTGGCCCACTCAGGGCTAAGGGTGCTAACATGGCCTGGTCTCTATCCCCTCCAGGTGGGCCCCTCCAGCTCCCCGAGAGCCTGTCCCTAGCCCAGGGCCCAGGTAAGGCATGTGGGAAATGCCCACGGGCTTTCCAGGAGGGTGGATCATGGCAAAGTCAAAGAAGAGTGCATAAGTATAATCTGGGCCCCACAGGGCAGTGGCTGTTCCTGGGGTCCAGGAACCAAGGCCGGGCCAGACCTGGGAAGGATGGTGGCCCCCCCCTTCCCTCCCCTGCTCTGCTGGGCTGAGCTGCTAGGGGAGGGGTGGGGGGGCAGGTGCCAGCCCAGAACCCAGTCTGTTTGGGGAGCACCCACCCCACACTGCACTGGCCTTTCTCCTTTCCCCAGCGGCCACACTGCCCGCCTCCAGCAGACCCTCATCCCGGAGCGGTGGACCGGCGAGGCACTAGCAGAGGCAGCCCTGTGGAGCCCACGTCTCGAGTCCCAGCCAGAGGGGACCCAGGCCTTTGGTGACCACTGAGAAGGACACTGCATGGGCCCAGAGCTCCTGGAACCGCCGTTCCTTTGCGGGCCGTGGAGAGCTGTGGACAGCCGAGCAACCCGCCGCTCTCGGAGGCTGGCATGGCCCTGAGGAGTGAAACCTCACGTGGTCGCCGGACGAGAGGCTCCTCCCTGCTGACTCTGCAACCCAGGGGCACGCTCCTGGCCTGGGCTGAGGAAGCCCTGCTCTCTCTGAGGCTTTGAATTGGATCAGGGACAGGTGTGGGCGCCAGTGTGGGCACAGGGCTACTGTCCTCAGACAGACTTTTTGGTGCTAGGCCCTGGGACTGGAAGCCCGCCCGTATTTATGTGAAGGTATTTATGGGCTGCTGCACAGCCCTCAAAGCCCGGGGTCAGCTGGCAGCTGCCCGCCGTCTCCCGCCGATCCCCAGAACCCCCGATTCCGGTCTCGCCAGGCTGCCGGCGTGGGTACCCTGTTATCACATACAATGAGTTCTAAATTTCTTTTCAAAGAATCACGATGTCAGCATGTTCAGCTCTCTGATTCTTTAATTTTCTATTTTAAAGTTTAACTTCCTTGTAATTCCTTCTCCACCAGTTCTAATCAGTTCACATCTGCTCCTCTCCCCCTCTCCACCCTGACGCAGCCCGGTCACCTGCTCACCCCTGGCTACCTGCTCTGACAGGCCCGTAACGTCCTTGCGCCAGAACACCCACCCTGCCACTCCAGCTCGGACCCCTGCTCATTTTAAAACAGCTGGTCGGGAGTAGTCTAGCTTGTGCGGTCTGACCCTAGCCAACAGGGGGGCAACAAAGCAGTCGGGGTGACCCCCCAAGCCCGTGGCGGCCATCATGGCTCCATCCATGCCCCCGAACCCGTCTGTAGAAGTAAAGCCTTGCTGGGAGGATTCATCTTCCAGTGTTACTTCTTTTGCGGCATCAACATTTTACTTATAACAATTCCGGGCACTCGTCCGGGTTCGCCCTTCTCCCCGGGTGCTCTCGGACCCTCTCTCGTGAGGAGGTGCATCCTGCTGCCTCACTTTACTGCAGCCTCGTGGGAAAGGGGTGGGGACCTACCCGACGTGACGAACAAGCCTGGCCTCTCAGCAACTTGAACAACAAAAATACGCAGCAACGAAGCAACTCCATGCATAAACCACGAGAAAGATGCCGTGGGATCCGGTCAAGTATTTCCCTGGTGGTCGGGACCAAGGGAGGGGCGAGTG